ACTGGAGTTGTCATCTGCTGGAAGGAGTGTGGGCTGGGTGTCTCAGGCCAAAGCCCAGCTCTAACACCTTCCAGAGGAGGGCCTTGACTTTGAGTGTTACTTAGCCCTTTTGGGGCTTGTTTTTCCCTGTGGTGTGAACCGTAGAACCTGTGCTTACTTAAGTTGCTATCTGTAAAGTGCTTGCACTGTAGTGACTGCTCAGCAAGTGTTTACTGTGGTGGCAGGAACAAAACCCTGAGTGTAAAATGTGAATGTAGTGAGATAGCAGCTGGAGCTATGTCAACCTTTCTGGCACCAGGGGCTGGTTTCCTGGAGGGGAGGTGAGGAGTGGTCAGGAGGTGGAAAGGAAGAGGATAAGACAGAAGGTGGGGCTTAGCAAGTAATGGGGACAAGTGACACAAGTAATGAGGAGTGTCTATAAATCAAGGAAGCTTCGTGTGCTTGCCGGTGCTGACCTCCTGCTGTGTGGTCTGCTTCCTAACAGGCCATGCACCAGAACATTTTTGGCACCAGGGACCATCTCATGGAAGACAATTTTTCCAAAGGGTGGCAGGATGGGACAGGGGGAAGAGTTCAGGAAGGCATTGAGCTCTGAGAGAGAGAGGAGGACACAAACACCAGCCTAGCTCTTTCTGCTTGGACTTCATCAGCAATGGAACTAGAAATTGGCCTGTCTGCCCATCTGGCACCAGAAGCAGCTCCATAGGAAATGTCCTAACTCTGTTTCATATCCATAGAAATATGCATGTATGTAGATGCCATATGTGCTTCATACCTGTAGGCATTTGAGATTAGGAAAACTTGGACCTCTGTTAAGGCAGGGTGGGATCTGTGTCCCAGTTTTGTGCTCCTGGTTTAGGATTCTGATTCTCTCTGTCACGAGGATAGACTATTCTGGGATAGCTGCAGTATGATAAAAGTCTCTGGGGATGACAAGCGGCCCTCTAACACCCCAGGGCTTCCCTCTTTGTGTCTTTTTAGGCTTGAGGTTCTGTGGCCCTATCCTCGGGGGAGTCAGTCAACGTCAGTGCCATGAAGGGTGTCCTCATTGCTGGCATCATCTTGGCACTTGCTGTCGCAGCTGTAGGTGAGAGATGCTGGAGTCCCCTTTTTGGTTGAAGATCCCATTTCCCATTTCCTCAGACACTTTTTTTTTGAGACTGAGTCTCACTATGTTGCCAGCGGTAGAGTACTTTGGCATCACAGCTCACAGCAACCTCAAACTCTTTGGCTTAAGTGATTTTCTTGCCTCAGCCTCTCAAGTAGCTGGGACTACAGGTGCCCACCACAACACCTAGCTATTTTTTTTGTTTTTGTTGCAGTTGTCATTGTTGTTTTTTGGCAGGCCCAGGCTGGGTTCAAACCCACCAGCCCTGGTGTATGTGGCCAGTGCCTTAACCACTTAGCTATGGCTGCCGAGCCCACCAGACACTTCTTAGTCTCAAAGACTGATCTTTGAGAACAGGGGGACTGTTAACGTGGGCTTATATATTAAGTGTGATCAGTGGAAGGCACCAGACCTATCTCTGTACCCTGCTGTCAGTGGATCCCTCTGTGTTGTAGGTTAGGGTTGGATCTTCCCATTGGGGAATGGTGAACAGTGGGGAGAGACGAATAGGGTGGGGATCAATCAATCTTGGGGACCCCTAGAGGGTAGGAATGCCATCCCACCTGTCTTTTACCTCGAGGTGGGTGTGGTGCTTTGCAGAGTACACTTTATGACTGTCTGCTGAATGTTAACCTATGTTGGACATCTTGTCTCCTCAGAATCCCTCAGCTGTGTGCAGTGTCATTCATGGGAAAACTCCTGTGTAAACGTCACTGCCACTGAATGTCCATCAGATGCCAACACCAGCTGTGTCGGCTCCTCAGCCAGCTCCTCTCTAGGTGAGCCTGGTTGTGTGTGTTACCCTTGCCTCTGAGACATCAGGTGGGAGCTGGAGGGGGTAGTCATGGAGGACAGAAAGGCTGAGATGGGGCCAGGCTGTGTAAGGACAGAGGGGCCAGGAAGGTGACTCCCAGGAGAGGCTGAGACAAGCAGAAGTCAGAAGAGAACATAAGGACAGAGCCAGGCAAGCAGACAGTCCCTTGTGGTATCCTAGAAACTGCTGGCCTTGACTAAAGCCTCATTCTAGATGAACGTGAGGGGTTATGAGAAGCAGGAGCAGCTCTCAGTTAAAGGACAAGGAGGGCAACTTGCTCTTCCATTTGTCAGGCTCTTTTATCTCCCTTCATGCTTCCTTCCTCTTCTAGATCAGCCATACTTTTGTTCAAGAGTTCCTCAAAGGGCATTTTGATTTTGACCTCATCTCTCTGAGGTTTCTTCTTATCTTTTTATAATGGTCCTGTTCAGACATACACAAAGCAGGAAGAACAGATTAGTGTACTGCCGTATAAACCACTGTCCTGTGTCAGCCATTATCAATATTCTACTATTTTTTTTTCCCAAAGTATTTTTTACTTTGGCCAAAGTATTTTAAAGTAAAAAAATATATATGCATATATAATCATACCTATACACATATATCATCATGATATATATGTGTATCATGGAATCTGTCATTTTCCCCATAAATATGTCACTGTTCATCTCTGATATATATATTTTTTTACTTAACTATACTGCTGAAGATTGAATGCTATCTCCAAAATTAAGGGTAAAGTTTAATTGCTACTGTGACAGTGTTAAGAGGTAGGACCACTAAGAGGTGATCAGGGCATGAGGGCCCCACCCTTGTGAACAGATTCCTGCTGCTATAGTTGTGTGGGTTCCTGGTGAAAGTGAGTCTGGTGCCCTCTGTCCTTCCTTGCCCTTGCCCTCTCTTGCCTTTCCTCCATGGGACCATGCAGCAAGAAGGTCCTCACCAGGGGCTGGTCCTTTGATATTGGGTTTCTCAGCCTCCTTCTGTAGGAAACAATTTTTTTTTACTTTATAAATTACCTAGTCTGTAGTATTCTGTTATAGCAATACAAAATAGAGTGAGACACATATTATTATACATAAGAAAATTAACTTTAATTCTTTAGTTTTGTTTTCTTTTTGAGATAGACTCTTACTCTGTCACCCTGAGTAAAGTGCAATGGTGTCATAGCTCATAGCAGCCTTAAGCTCCTAGGCTCAAGAAGTCCTCCTGCCTTAGCCTCCCAAGTCCCTGGGACTGCAGATCCTCACCACAACACCTGGCTACATTTTTCTATTTGTAGTAGTGGCTCTAGCTCAGGCTGGTCTTGAACTCCTAAGCTCAAGGGATCCTCCCACCTTGACCTTCCAAAGTGCTAGAATTACAGGTGTGAGCCATTGGGCCCCACTGATCCTTTGTTTTATTTTTATTTATTTATTTTTTTGAGATGGAGTCTCACTATGTTGCCCTTGGTACAGTGCTGTGGCGTCCCACCTTACAGCAACCTCAAACTCTTGGGTTTCAGTGACTATCTTGCCTCAGCCTCCCAAGTAGCTGGGACTACAGGCACCTGCCACAACACCCAGCTATTTTTTTGGTTGCAGTTGTCATTGTTGTTTAGCTGGCCTGGGCCAGGCTTGAATCCGCCAGCCTCCGTGCATGTGGCTGGCACTGTAACCACTGTGCTATGGGCCCCAAGCCAGCCCCACTGTTCCTTTAATTTCTTCTAATACCTAGGCCATCTTAAAAATTTCTTAATTGTTTCAAAGATGTCAGGATATGGTTGATGTTTTGGGATTTGTATCCAAATAAAATGCCCAAACTGCATTTTTCTGTTACGTGACTATTGAGTGTAATTTGTTTTATGACAACTCCTATTACTTCTTCTGTCCAATCCCATTGATTTGTTGGAGAGACTGCCATTTGTCCTGCAGCTGTCCCATACTGGTTGGTTGCTTCCTTGAGGTGCTATTTGACTTGCTCTCCTGTCCCTGGTATTTTCTCTAGGCTAGACTAGTTCTATCCAGTAATTCTTTCTCAAATAACAGAAATGTCTGATCAACACTGTTATATATGGTAATTACTTATGGCTATTGGGCATTTGAGACATGGCTAGCATGACTAAGGAGCTTAATTTTAAATTTTATTTAATTTTAATCATCAGATTTACACTTAAATAGGCACATATAGCTAGTGGCTGGCATATTAGATAACTTTGGCTAGATGTTTTACTGGATTCAGGTTCAAT